ATGTAAACACGTTATCGAACTTTGTTCCAATGTAGCAACCATGCGGTTATTTTAGAACAACAACTGGCGTCAATATTTATTCCAGACCACAGTTTTCTTTGATAGTGTGTCCTCAGTATTTTTATAAAAATCTTCAACCAATTAATGACAATTAGGGAACTGCAAAGTGGTCCCGGGACTAAGATTTTTTCACACTGGTTCCGGTCAGTTTTTTATGCAATATATCTTCACGTCTATTATTTTGACATGATTAAAGATCTATAAATCAGATATTTTTATTTGCTATTTCTATAAATGTCTATACTGATTACGAGTCTGTTTGCAAGAATCCGAATTTTCCAATTGCACAGGTTTTTGAATACTTATGAAACAATCAACACAACACTATATACGTAAATATAATTCGTTCATTCTTTGATCATTCCTTTAAGTCTTATCAGATAATAGTAAATAAATGTGTCGCCGTTTATTTTTTTTCGACAAAAGTAATGGCGACTCAGTATAGATTATGACTCGAAAAAGCCCGTGGCGTATGCGTATATATGTAGCTTTAACACTGAATATAAAAGAATTCTCGTACTGTTAACGAATCAAAATCATTCATGTCAATTTTATGTATTCATAAAAGTACACAGATCGTAAAAAAAGTTGCTCGATGTTAGAAATGAAGCCATTGTCAAAGACCGGGACCGAGACTAAAAAAAGCGATTTTGCAGATCCCTAATGGTAACACATAGACCTCTATCAATTCTATCTTGAATAAATTTTTTAGAAAATTTTAAATTATATCTTACAACAATAAAAAGTTTTTAGCTGAAAGACTCTGAAGTAGCTCCATACATCGAATGAACGGGAATCTTATATAAATATGCAAGTTTTTACTTATCTGAAACATAATGACGTTACTTTTAGTCTTTGGAAGCTTCTTGATGAATAGCCTTCCGTCTTTTCTCAATACTCGGCAGGTCTCAGGTTACTAAGATAGACAATGTACTTAGGTCGTCTCGCAAAATACGATAAAAAGAAAAAAAAATGCAAATAGAGAAGGAATTTGTATGAAAATATTGCCAATGTATCCAAGATCATCATCCGGATACTCATCTAAATATTCATCTTCATTTTCAGTGGAGTGCTGATTTTCGTGTGAATTGGACTTGTCAAGGTTAGGTTTAGGCATCTGTTCAAACAGCGTGTCAGCCTGCTAGAAAACGTGAGTGTCAGTTAGGTTGTGGGTCTAGATATCTGTTCCACCTGTACTACGCTCACATCCATACGCTATAGAGAAAATACAGATGTGTTCGAAGAATACATTCATACATATATCTACAATAATCTATATTTACATGCATTTTCTTCTGTAGACTTTTACGAAAAGCAATTACTTTTCAATTATCAAGCAACATTTAACGAAAGTAGTATGTCTATTCAGCACACTTATTGCATTTTAGCAAATGACAATTCTTAACATTATTCTGTATACCATAACTTTTGTTGACTTGAATTACAATCTTTAAAATATAAGTAACTCATAAAATGTGGAAGTAGGTGACATGAAACATTATTGACATAATGATTGTTAGTTTTTATTGCTAGTGGAAATATCTGAATCTTTTCGAGAGAAAGAAAGGATATTCATATGAGTCATCCGTTGTTGGTAAAGGTATGAGTACATTTTCTTCCAACCTTATTACTCATTTATTTTAATATTGGTATAAAAATAGCATTAGAAAAAAATCGTTTCCTTACACGAAACAAGCAACAAAGAGAAGTTTCGCTGCACATATTTTCTCCATGTTGATGAAATGATGTTAATAACACAATTTGAATTGTTACCAAATGAAATACTTATCGAATGCTTCGAATATCTTAATGGTATCGATATTTTAAATTCCTTTGGTTTTTTAAATAATCGATACAACAAGCTTATTCGAAATATTTTACTACACTTTGATTGTAAACATGTGAACAAATCTATGTTTCATCAATTATGTCAAAAGATAGCATTCGATTCAGAAATCAAAAGTCAAATTTGTTCATTATATCTATCAAATGGAAATGGTTATGAGCAATTATCGACATTTTCTTCATATATTTCACTCGACCAACTTTCTAATCTTCAGACACTTAGTTTGGATGGAATTGATCAAAATATCATATGGGGATTGATGTGGACCTTACCTCACTTATTGAATCTGCGTCACTTTAATTTTACGGCTTCCTCGGATAGTGCTGATCTACTATTCGAAGCAATACCGACGTCTACTATACAATCGTTATCGATGCCCACAATGGAATTTGGTTCGATTTTTGTTGAACAATTCACATCAGTTGTTAGTTTAACGATATCTACGTGTTCGTTACGACAACTATATGAAATTTTCAAATATCTACCTCAATTAAAGTGTCTACTTACCAACAAAATTCATTTCGCCTCTGGTTCAGAAACCAACGAATATGTTGCTGTGCATTTGAAACGGTTGATTATTTATGAGTTCACTTTTAAATTTGAGATTCTGGAAAATCTCTTGGTATCAACGCCAAATTTAGAAAGTTTAACAATACTTGCATATGACAATAACCATATGATTGATGCTAATCGTTGGCAAAAATTGATTGAATTTACATCACCCCATTTAAATACTTTTAAATTTAAATTTGGCATTACATGTGGCATTAAAAATCAGAACATTATTCATATGCTACAACAATTTCAGAGTGACTTTTGGTATCAACAACATCATTGGTATACTGAATACAGCTTATCGGAACACAGGGCACTTATTTATACTATGCCTTATCCATCAAACCACTACATCGTTGATTCGAATGCTATGAGATATGGTAATACACAGTACAAGATCCATTCTAACTTATTCGAGAAAGTGACTAGTTTAAAATTAAATGTGGAGGCTATAGCAGAAATCAGTGCATACTACTTTCCAAATGTCAAGTCCTTAAGTTTAAACAGCGGCTATGATAAAAACAATTATTCTTATCCTTATCTAAAAAGTAAACACATACAATCACTTAAAATGATTGTTCATTTATGTAAATTAAATCATCTTGAGATCTTATCGCCGTGTAAAATGAAATCACTCTCAGTATTATTACAAATATTACAAGAGGCACCAAATATATCATCATTGACAATTTCTAGAGATATTCTGTTACAATCGTTCACAAATCAGAAATTATGCGAAAAACTAAACAAAATGATCAAAAAATTAGATATTGTTAAGGATCGACCATTTTCACAAATCGGCTTAAAAGAAATAATCCAAGCTTGCCACAGATTCTCGAACATTGAAAAATTACAATGTGACTTCGATCGAGTAGATGATTTTCCGTCTTTGCTCCATGAATTTGAAAAACTATCAAATCTAAAACTATTTTCATTCAGATCAGTCTACAATTATCGTATGAACAGATGGTTGAAAGATCATGCTTTAGAATTAAATACATATTCATTTATGATACAATTTGACTCTCTTAATGATGAGTATGATGACGATTTTTGGTCTCCTTACGACTCACCTGATTCTGTCGATTATGACACTTGATTAGATTTATAGAATGATTCAATTTGTAGTTTTTTACCAGCATAATAAACGAGTAATCTATAATATGAATAAAATGTAATTAAAATACATTTCAATTGTTTTGAAAATTTGAAGCATTTAGTTCTTGTTCATTGGAATTTAACATGTTCTGTAAAAGAAAATCTTAATAGTGTTGCGCTATTATAGAGCAACGTGTGAAACTCATGAACTCTGATCGGGGTTAGTAATCATTGTTCTAGACATAAGAAGTTATCGGTATTTTCTTTCTACACTGTTGTATAGCTGATTGGCACTATTTACTCGACACAAAATAACGGTTGATACAGATTAAATTGCCGGTTTTGGGGAAATACATTTTGATTAACCGATTTACTTTAATGAAAAAATAAAGCTCTACATTTTCGTATAGAAAACTATTTTAATATTTTTCTATTGAATTATTATTGTCAATCGTGACAAGATCGGTCTGAATTCAGAAAACATCAATTGTCTAAGATTAAGCTATACTTTTCTCTATCGATTAACCCTTCTAATTAGTTAATGACAATGTTTGAAATTTCCTTCCATAAAATTATTTTGCATATATAAAACAAAACAAAAAAAAAGAATAACTTAAACACCATCATGAAGAAACAATGAGTACTCTTACAAACAATCGCAATGTTGGAAATTTTTCTCTAATTTGGCTTGACCCTAATGAGAATACAAATGAAGGAAATATAACTGTGCAAAAGCAGTTACGTACCATTATCAACAATATTCAAACTTTCGAAAATATTGAACCATGTCACGAATATATAAAATCTCGATTAGATCAATATCACTTTATTGTCATCATAAGTGGACGTCTTAGACAAAAACTAGTACATCTTATTTATCAGTATTCTCAAGTTGTAGCAGCAGAGAGAAACTTATTCACAGTCGAATTTGAATTCAGATAAGTCTATTCGTTGGTTGTCGTATGGGTAAGCCTTTCTGATTTTTTGATTATTTCTGTTCCTAGAATATGATACCAATGACTTGACCCAAAATTTTCATCACAGATAGAACATCAATAAATATGAGTTGCACGTTCAACTTTAAAGGTCTTTATAAAATTTTCGTTTTTCTTTGTGAGACTACTCTAATTAAAGTTTACTCGATGGAATTGAACCTTTTCTCTGAAGATAACGCATGATGCAAAACTAATAACACGAAATGTTGATCCCTATTTCTTCTGTATAAAAGGGTGTGGGTGGATGTGGATATAGGTTTCCTCTTTATTCGCACCCACACTCAAACCATTACTTGTATTTATTGTTCTGCTGATATTATTTGTTTGTTGTTCAATGAGCGATGCTTTCGTAAATTCTGAAAGCTTCTTTTTAGAAAATCTAAATATATCTCTAGACAATTAAAGAGTTTATAGGCAATGTTTCTTCTTTGATTTGTATGATTATTTTATGGTAAAAATGCTTCGATATTTTGTCGTCCAAGCTGATAGTCCACTGCTAGCTGTGCCTAAATGATAATAAAAACACAAGATAAACGACAAGAAATCCTCTGATTCTTACATGAAGTTGTGTCGAATCAAAAAGAGGAATATGTGGTATGTCGCTTTGTTTGACAAGTAAGGGTATTTCTATAAGAATACAAAACGGATACATGATGAATGTCAATCGATTGCATTAAAATTCTCACCAGTACAACCGAGTACAATGCCTTCGACATTCTGTTCATCGCTCAAACGTTGAATTACTTTTAAAAATGTTTGTTTTGATTCTTCCGTGAATATATTGAATGATAATTCCTTCATGATAATTTCATTCAATTGTACAATCTCTTCCTCGTTCGGAAAAATCACTTTCAAACCATGTTTAATCAAACGTTCAACAACGCGACTATCCGATTTCATTGTGAAACGTGTACCCAAAAACCCGACCTAGATATATGGTCAAATATCGCAATTTCTGTTCTGATTATTTCCAAATATACCTTGTGGATCTTTTTCTGTTTTATAGCATAGGCGACAGCATCACTGATGTGTAGAACTACCAAATCTGGATAACATTCAGCAATCCGTGATACAGCAATATGGGCTAATCAAACAGAGTGAATGGAAATAAAAGAAATCAAGTAACATTACCCGTATTCGAGCCAATCACCAGAAAATCAATGCCACTATTGACTAAATGATGAACACCTTTAACAAGATAGTCAATAGCCTTGGACCATTCACTTTGTTCGAGTAACTTGACATAGTGAAAAATATTTACCGAGACGATATGAATGCAACTGCTGTGACCTGGCAATGCTTCGTTAACCATACGGTTTATTTGATGGTAATACTTCAATTAATAGAATATATAAATAGGAGTTACTTAATTTATGACTTACATCAGCTGTTGATATATAGGTCAAGCCACCGAGCAAGCCACATATGCGCTGTTGTCTTACATCGCTTTCCATTAGTTGATGATCAGAGCAAAATTAATATAACTGAATGAATACAAGAAGAAAAACGCTATTAATAGTTCATATCATTGCTAGAAGCAAAAAGACAGAGCACACACCTATAGATGCTACTCTGGACTTGACTGTTGTCACTCTCATACATTTATCTTCTTACTAGGGTTTGTAAATAGAGATTTTAATAGTCTATCGATTGATAATATATTCTAGTTAAACGAAGTTTGGAGCATCTTTTACTAATACCTTTATCGTCTAAACATTTTCTTTTAAAAACATTCACTGTTTTATTCGATGAACAATGATAAATTGTATACGATGTAGTGAATTCACAATAAAATTTAAGCTTTTTTCGAATCATTGGCATAGATTAGTATGTAAAATTCTATTGATGTTCAGAACTTTATATATCCATTAAAGCTATTTTCCATATATGTTCGCTCTCTTTGTTCTACCAGGTACTATCATCAGTGTTTTCTCTTGGTTTTTTTCTTTGTTTTAATTTGTTGCTTGAATGTAATAACTCGTATATTTTTATCACTATATTATGTTATCTATTGTTTTATTTTCCATTTCTTTGGACATCTGATATAAATACTTGTTTTTTCTATGTGACAGTGGATGTTTTTAGAAGAGAGATAAAAGTAAACAAGATTAAACTTATAAAATCATCACATATACAAATCAACATATTATTATATTACTATCAAATATATAGCAAAACCTTATGCATTTCTTAAGGCATCTTGGCTGCAATCGTATAAGAATGTGAGCAAAAGTGACTGTTAGTTTCAGAGTATCAACTATCGAGTCAGGTCCAAGGAATTTTTGGTGACCAGCGAACGATCAATTAGTTATTATCGCCCCCATTGCATCTCATTTTATAGAAGTTCAACTATATAATAACGTCGATATCTTTTTCTCTAAAACAAAATTAATTGAATCTGTTAGCTGTTTATTCACTATGTATTAAATTTGTGACTCCTCATTTCTTTCTATGACAGTTTTAATCGACTAGTCACGATCTATGATATTTTATTCGTATTACAAGAAAAATTCTATAAAAAAAAACTCCTAGAGAAAAGTGGTACTTACTTTGGTGGAAAAGTTTTAGTCTCTGTCTTTATTTCTTTCGACTTTGTACTTTAATATTATAAAAACATGGTCATTTTTATCTTGATATTTGCTGTTCTGCATTCACGACATATGATATTCATTTTTGATAGAACAAAATTATCTTTGATGAAGCAAATTTTGGAGACGAATGAAAAAAAAGAATATTATCAAATCATTTTAGGGTATAAAAATGAATTAGTTGAGAGATAATAATTCAAAACCATTCTGACATGATAAATATAATGAAAAAATTCAAAGTGTGGAGTAGGGTGTATGTTTTTTCGTCTGATATTTCGCTTCCATATTGAGCAAATTTTGCCACTTTCATAGCTACAAATACGTCAAATTTTGTAAACATGAAATATGTAATCGTTATTCGAAAAACACTTGATATGGGTAAAGATAACGACAAGGGAAGAAGTCAAGAAGCTTTTTTCTCTTTGTTTTAGACAATGCGTAATGAGAAGAATTAAAACAATTGTTTTTCTTGACTACAAAAGATCATGGGTGTGGGTGTGGGTTACGTCAACAACTGAACCCACACCCACACCCACATCCTTAGCCGAGACTTGTAAAACTTTATTTTCAAGCGATCTTAACATATTTTGAGTTCATTCCGCTGATGAAAGCCTTTCGTTTGTAGGGCTTTAAACATCAAGGCTTTCAATAAGGTCCTGATCACAATAACAAGGTGAGATATAAAGGAAATGGTACCAATAAACCGTAGGTTTTTCAGAAGTTTCAATATTTTTAAAATATCTTCGTAGTAAAAATAGCAATACTGATTCTATAACTATATTTCTAGTGAAATTCATTGAAAACCAAACTAGATATTGTAAATTCAGTCATTTCCCACTGACTACGAGCTTTTATCTGTAGGAGCTGACTGATTAAAGCACAGTATGTTCAATCGGCACGGTCAATTCTACTTCGATGTAGATTTTACATTTACATCTTGCTTTATTATCATAGGAAGTGTGCCAAGAACTTTCGTTTCAAGATGATACTGCGTTAGAAAGATGGATTCTAGCTGAGGAAAATTGCGTTGATACTGATTAGTGCAGAATAAGCGTTTCAAAGTTGCTTTACCTGACTTCTATGAAGTCGTGTGGGATTCGATGTATGATTTTCTTTTATTGAAACAAAACCTATCAAAATAGAGTTTATAATGAAACAACATGAACACTTCTATCCTACCTGGTGTCGTTTGCCTGAAGACACCAATATTGATAATGGTTTAACGTATGAAGCCGTTGGGTTCTCTTTCGGTATTTATAGCACAGTTGTTGCGCAACAAGGATATTTTTTACACAAAAGAAAGATACAGAACATTGGCGAAGAAATTTTCCCAACGTATGTTTCATCACTTGACAATTTTTACGTCAAAGGTTATCAACATATGGTTGGGAAATTTCTTGTTTTTCTATGTGGGAATATTCCCGCACTCGATTCATCTCTTGCTTCGCCAATTGCTTAGAACTGCAACATTTATAGAGTAAATGTTGACAAGATGACCTCCGATCGACGATTTTCGAGACTAATCTGTAAAAAAACAAAAGGTTTTATAAGAAGATATTGATGATTTTAGCGAAGATACTACAGTTTTAAAGTATCCTTCGTTTATTAGCAAACCACCTAGCATTCAAGAAAATTGAAGCAACGGTGTCAGATAAAAAATGGTTTCAAGTGTTTAGCATTTTTATTTCACATCCTTTTTTATGCTGAACTTCGTTTACAAACATGATTCTAACTCAAGTGAATCATCCTTGGAATGCCATTTAACTAACGTACACCTGGAATAATTTTACTTTTCCAATAATGATAAGTCGGTAATAGATGCCACTTACTTCGTGAATAATAATAACTAATGAACCACTTAACGATTAGTATAAACTTAAGGGTGGGTGTGGGTGTGGATCGTGTGCGTGTGGGTGTGGATGTGGATGTGCATGTGGGTGTGGGTTGTGTTTGGGTGTGTGAGTATTTGTCTCGTCTTTACTCACATACACACCCACACCCTCACCAACACCCACACCCACACTCACGCCCACACCCTATGACAGGTATCAACCAGCGAAGAAACTCTCACGCTCATATGAGTAGCTCATGAGCGTGAGTGTGCGTTGTACAACCCTCCTGTGAACGTCGGTGAGTCACCTCACTTCTTCACTTACGATTGCAGATGACACGATTCTGCCTCTTTGGCGATGATGAATGTGACTTGAGAGAGAAAATGATAGAGCACATATCATCAGTCGAAGAGATAAGCTATATATATGTATGTGTCACATACGCAACAGGCATGTGCCAACTGTTATCTCTTTTCATACGATCCATGCAGGTAGAGATGCGTCGATCAAGAAGTTTCAAGAGTCTCAGAAAATGATCACTTGATCCACCTACAATGACTGCATTTATTTCGTTCTACTTTGAGTGTGGGTGGGTGTGGTTGGGATGTTGGTGTGTGGGTCTGGATGGGTGTGGGTGTGGGTTTGGGTGTGGCGTGTGGTGTGAGTGTACTATAGTGGTTGAGCAGAAGATATTCCCCTGCACCCACACCCACTCTCACACCCTGTCTAGCTAGATGACTTGAGGGAGTTTTCTTTTTTTTTTGATGATTGTGCTTACGACTTTTATTGAAACTGAATACGGGACATTTAAGTTTCATAATAATTGATAATTTCAAAGTTAAGACGCACACAACTGCTGAACGTCTACAAATGTTTTAAAGCATTACGAACGAATTTAAGTATATCAAAAGCTAGGATTGTATATTCCATATCTTGTGTTGGACATGAGAAGATATCTTAAGAGTTAATTGACCAACAAAACCTTGTGCCCAATGTCTTGGCAATAGTGATGAGCAGGACCAATTATTTTTGATTCCGGTCCCAGTTCCAACCAGCAAAAAAAGTTGATCTAGGTCGGAAATCAAGCTTTGGTCCGGATTTCGGTCAAAAAAAATTGGTCCCGATCCCCCGGCGATGTTGTCCATATCTACTTGGCAAATATTTCGAATATTCGATGTAGAAAGATCAAGAGAACGTTTTTGCATAAATGAATTTTTCCAGTTGCAAGACCTTTTTGGCTCTCGTAAGCATCTTCTCAACAATTGTAAGTCAATTGAATTAATCGTTAGTCAGCTCGAATGTTTATCGTTCACAAAATTGAACAGAAACATAGTAAATAAGTTTTTGTTCATTTAAAATTTAATTTTTTTTTGTAATCGATATTTTCATGGGTTTCATTTGTTTGAGATAAAGCAGATATTTTTTCAAATGAAACCAGGCACGGAGAAAGAAAATAACGATCAGAACGGCGCAGAAAACACAATATTTGCCTTCATTCCAGCCTCTAACATAGTCGTCATAAGAAGTATCGAAGATAAGAACTGACACGTTTTTCTTTCAGTGCTCGTACACAGAAACGACCAGCGAAAGCAATATTTGCCAAAAAAACATTGTTCTCTTTCTTTTTTCTTCTTTCTAATTCATGACTGAAATAAGGGACGTCACGATGAAAATATTGCAGAGAGGTTTCTTCCTACTTATATAACATTATTTTAATGAGCTATTCAGAGAACACATTGAAATATGTGCATAATTGGCGTGCAAACTAATGGTACAAACATTTGCCGTCGTCAATACAACTATGACACGTTATATTTTTCAAATAGACGTATGGCTTTCGGAAGAAAATTTCATTATTTCCTAAAAAAGCTATTCTTTTAAATTCTGATTTATAATTTCTACACATCTTTAATCAACATTTGCTGTGCACATACAAAGACCGAATAACAGTTATCTGGAGTGTGATACCTTTCTAGAAATAAATTTCTTTTAGGAGTTATTATGGAAATCAATAATGAAGCGACCTGTTGGATTTGTTAAACTGCACGCCAAAGATGTTAATGGTGTTTTCGATCGTAGCTGGAGGAAAAAAAACTTTGTTTTCAAATATTATAGAAGGGTTATTGTACCGATCTCTCCTTCAACTTTTCTACTATTACTGCTGCCACAATACACTGTGAATGATTTTATGTCGATCTTTAACAAAACGAAGCAAATGACGGATGGTATTAAAAATTTTGCCTTCAAGCATCGAACCACACTCTAAAACGGAAGTAGAAAATGCCAAGGGATTTATTTATCGGTGTGAATTTGCAAATCAAACCTTTACTGATTTTCCTCTTCTATGCCGCCCGTTTCCAGCAGCTATGACGCAGAAATGCGTAGTTGTGATGCAAGAATCGCAATTGCGTATAACCATGTCGTAGTTGCTTGCAATTACGAGTCGCAGTGCAATCGTAGTTACGACGTAATTGCTTTGCAATTCGGTCGTAATCAAACACATGCCTCTCCTTCCCCTCTGCATCATATATTGAAGAGAGAAGTTCACTTGGTTTTTTTTGTTTCAGATCATTGTTAAATAGCCATCATGACTTTTATTCAACGTCTTACAATTAATTTTCGTGAGATACAAAAGAATCCGCCTCCATTATGTTATGCAGAACCTGAAGATCCCAGTAAAAACATGTTCCATTGGATTGGTTGGATTGATGGACCAAATGATACACCATATGCCGGTGGCCAGTTTCGCTTGACAATCGACTTTCCGCCCGAGTTTCCATTCAAACCGCCTACGATTCGTTTTATTACACCAATTTTTCATCCAAATATTAGTACAAAAGGTGAGATTTGTTTGGATATACTTCATTCACAATGGTCTCCTGCGTTAACTGTACGTGCTCTTTTGATATCGTTATGTTCGATGTTGACAGATCCAAATCCTGAGCATGGACTCAACAGAGATGCACTGAAACTCTATCGAGCAGATCAGAAAATTTACAATGAAACAGCGAGAGAGTGGACAGAGAAATATGCTATGAAGAATGGCAATTAATAGACTTGATTAAGTCATAACACTTGCTGATATATTTACGTCAAATATAAAGACAGACATTGAAAAAAACCATGCTAATCATCCATACTACCCAGGTCGCAAGTGAGCCATCGGATCTGTCTCAATCCGATGTATTCCGATGACTGAATCCGATAGAATT